AAGCCACAGTAGATCAAGGAGAAGCCTTTGAGAATAAGCCTAGCTTAGCGCAAAGACTGGAAGCAGTGGGAAACTGCTAGCCTAGCTCCAGCAAAAAGAAAAAATGATTGTGTCAAACTGACTTCTGCAGCAACATTTCCTCAAAAAAATTCAGATATGGGAGAATTTACTGTTTTTAAACCAGTTAGCTGCCTCCTAACTTAGACATTGAACAGCCTTTTGTTTTTGTTCATCCCTTCTAACCCGACACTCCATAATAACAGAGATAAATGTGTTAAGTCTCGCTCGTTCTGATTTATTTCAGCAGTTAATCTTCAAACACAACACGCTCTGATGATGACTGAACCTCAGCCACCAGCAGCCTCCTGGATGCTATGACACTAACAACGCTAATAACAACCCAATGAGAAAAAAACATACTGAGACGAGTTAAGAGGTCAAAGATCAGCTGTCTCCGGCCTGGTGAGAAATGTCTTGAACCACACCTCCACACACACACACACACAAACACACATTAAATCAGAGACTGGTTAAGGGAAGCAGACATAAATTCTAAGCTGCTTTCAAATATATTCATATATTTAATATTCATGAGAGTCACACATCATTGTCTGCTTACTCTGACAGGGGGGCGGGGGGTGAATTGGAGGCTGGGGGGGTTGTCTCATTCACAACAAAGAGACACAAAGGAGGGGACACCTGTTACAATCAGGACTGAGGCTGCCTCTGTGTTTTGACTGAAATTTTAATCATTTCAGGACTGAAATTCAAATAAAGTGTGGACTGGTAAAACTAGACTTTTAAAATACAATATATTTATGGAGTTTTTAGGACATTATTTTATTCGAATGTTTGCATGTCTTAGCCCAAGTTTTGTATACTCCCCCCTCCTGCTCCTTATTCAGACAGATTTTATGTTTTTAAAAAAGTAGCTAATTATTTCTAAAAGCTTGTTTTACGTGGTTCACCCCCCTCTACCAAAGAAAGCCATGATATGTACCCAGAATTAATAACATTTTATTTAATTGATAGAAAATGTATAAATTCAACATTGTCCATTATTGTTGTATAGCCTTATTTATTTTATTCCTCACCAAATGTTATTTTTTGTTATTAATACATTTTTAATGCATAAAGTGTTAACATTAATAAACTTAATAATTAAATATGCTGTGTCCTTGAGTCAACTGACCCCTCCTTAATCGGATGGATGACTCCAGTCACATGACTCTCAGGAGTAGCATGGCAGACATTATACCTGCTAAGCATCAGCGTGTCAGCCTTGTCATTGTGAGAATGTTAGCATGCTGACTGTAGAGTCTTGGTCATTTCTTCTTGTCTGCCATACGTTTCATTTATTTGATCTTCTCGGCATGGAGGGAACTATTTTTTTATTAATTAGGAAACCTGTTTCAATTCCTAGCCGCTTCAGCTCAGTGTCGTTTCACTGTAGTACAAAACTTAAATCATCCACAACTGGTCATGCCCATAAACTCGGTCCAAATACAGCAATGAATTACTGTCCAGATCTGGTAGCCACATGTGGCCCATGACATAGCCATATCTTAGCCAACTGGCCTTATTCTGGCCCTATGTCAGATCAGACTTGTTTTAGCCCTCTTTTTTTGTTTGTTTGTTTGGTTGGTTGGTTGGTTTGAGCTGTTCTATGGACAGGTTGGATCCAAGTCTTCCAGAGAGCCAACCGAACCAACTCTCTTATCTTTCAGTACGGACAGTGCCTTGAGTGCAACTTCCCTATCAATCATCTTCATATTGGTGAACTGACAAGAAAAAATAAAGGGTAAGTTGTCACTAAAATATGTTTCTTAGAGTCATTAATGTTCTCACTGCCAACTGTGATATGAAGAGGTGCAGTGATCTCACTGAGTGAAAGGTTGGACTCTTTATAGCCAGACCTTCAGTAACACAGGTGGTTTCACATGCTGTCCACTCTATTCACGTTGAAGATAACATATTTGAAGATAACAGTTTATGAGGTGGAAAAAGAAAAGTACAAACAAGACAAACCCATTGTAAATATATACTGAAGCAGACACAGAGAAAGTAATTTTTTCTAAATGTCATTTTCAGTGCTGTGAGAGGCACAATATAAATGACATTCACCACTGTGTCGTGGTTAAGGCAGAAATATAAAAGCGAGTTGATCTGAAAAAAGTGGGACAGTCTGCGTATTGAGTACTTTACTTTTACTTAAGTAAAATGATTATAGTATATTATTTTTACACTGGTGTTTGCAACTTTTACCTCTGGTCTTTATTATCCACCTAACCACGCCACAATCCTGCAGTAATGACCTACACTCCTGTCCTACTTCCTGTCCTGTCCAGCAGGGGCAGTACGGGAAACATGTCTCTTTGCTTTGGGGTAGAAGTCAGCAGGTTCATCTGGCTCTGTGAACTCCTGCTTTTGTCTTTCCCTCCCTCTGTCTCTTTCTTTTCTTTTCTTCTTCTTTTTTTCACGTTTCTCTCCATTCCTTTCTTTATGCACTTCACTGGATTCCAGTTTTAAGAAAACACTCTCTATCACACTGAGATTCAAGTAATATAAAAATACAATACAAAAATGTAACCCTATTAGCATCATACATTGCTTTGTCAGAAGAGGGACAAATGAAGGAGGAGAGGTGAGGGAGGAGGCAGGAAAGAGAAATGTGTGATGTTTTGGATCTGGATCTTGGTCCCCCTTTGTATGTATGTTTCTTTTCCTCTATCTGAGTCAATGGTGTGCTTGAGTTTTGCCTCTTGTAATTTAATGTATTCTGTTGGGCGGTATAAATAAAACTCACATGTCATTTTACACTGATGAATTATAACGACTGCAAACTGTGGAAGTGTGCGTGTGTGTATGTGTGTGTTTCTCTTTAAGACCAGTGAGAGGACACGATGATGCTGAAGCAGCAGAGAGGTAAACCAAGGACACACTGACACCGAGTCCAAATTCACATGCACACGCAAATATACCGCACACTGCAGCAGACAGAGGAGGTTCAGGGAGAAGGAAAGGAAAGGAAGAAAGGGGAGAGAGTGAATGATATATAGTGGGGGGAAAGATGGAAAAGAGAAATAACTGTCACCTTGTAGTTTCCCGTTGGGATTAATGAAGTAGTCTATGATTTAACAGGCAGGCTGGATCCATGTTAACCTGCATCATGCTAACGTCACATATACTATATGAATGGGGTGACTTAGATTTTTTGATTCTTTGACTCTCTCGTCATTAAAATAAATATGAAGCTACAGCCAGCAACCGGTTAGTTTAGCTTAGCACAAAGACTGAAACAGGCATGGATGTATGGAAGGAGCAGTGTGTGGAATTTAGTGGCATCTAGCAGTGTAGTTGCAGATTGCAACTCCCTCGCTTCACTCCCTTCCAAGGGCGATGGAGAAACCAGGAAATGTGAAAAATGTGAACAACCCTATCTGGAGTCAGTGTTTGGGTTGTTCTGGGCTACTGCAGAAACATGGCAGCTCTCTGTAGATAAATACCTCATTCTAAGGTAACAAAAACACAAAGATTCTTATTTTCAGATAATTATACACTAATGAAACATACCTATGAATATTATATTAAATTTCTGCCAATAGATCTTCCAAATGTTACACACCTGACCTTTAAAGTAAGAAGAGCTGGATGTCTCAAACACACAGTGATGACTCCAGGAAGGCTCACCTGGCTGAAAAAGATATATTAACACATATTATAACCTGTAAAACCTCATTGTGGTGTTTTTACATTTTTTGTACAGATTAAACCAACAAGATATTAAATGTTAATTACTGTGCTGGTAGCAAATAATTTCCCAAAATGTCAATGTCTATAAGATTTTGCCACCTCTGCAACACAGACAAACACAAACAGCAGAGTTTTTAATCAGCAAACACATTTTGTAAGTAAACTGTGAACGTCAATATTTAGCATGAGTAGACTCAGACTGTGTTTCGGCTGTTCAAAGTTTAACAAGGACACTCTTTTTACTGCTGTGAGCGATGGTCATTCCCAACACAGACAGAGACACACAAACACACACCACTGAGCCTCCTTAATGCCACATTTGTGTAAAGAAGACCAACTTGCTGCCTCACTCCGCAGTCTATAAATAGGCTCTTTTTCCCCGCTGAGAGACGACCATTTACGGAGTGAAAATCTGAACTCTGTTGGTGATTAGGACACAGCACTTGTCTTTGTGTTGGAAGCTGAAAAGAGGAGACATTGGTGGGGGGTGGGTTGTATCTCCTGATGGATGAGCCTCTTTAATTCTAATACACCTATGTACAGAGCTGAGAAAATCACCCCTCACATACATAAAATGTTACATAAAACGTTTATAGTTTAATATAAAACTTTTATTGTTTAATATAAAACGTAATGGTTTTAAAAAGAGAGTCAGATGAAAGATCTGCAGACATCAAAGAATCTAATGAAGTATAAAAGCACACTTTCAAGACCAAATAAAAGAAACTGAAGATTGGATTTTTGGAAAATCCCACTGGAATGTTTTAGGTGATTTTTCTCTGCCTGTCTGTGTCAAAGGTCCGCTTTTATAAAAGCAGCTTTGTAGAGGTCAAAAGTTAAGCTGTGTCATCACCTCAATGGTGAGCTCAGTTCCAGGCTTTATTGGATGACTTCCTACTAACAAATTGGCGCACTTAACACTGAGTGAACACACACACACACACGTCCTTTCCTTCAGTTGGAATTTATTAAAAGGGAAATAAATAGACGCTAAAAAGACACTATAAAACCAAATCCTTGTTGTGAATTGTTGTGTTTTTGTTGCCTTAGAGTGAGCTATTTTTATCTACAGAGGGAGCAGGTCCTTTGGAGTCTGCCATGTTGAACCACTATTAAAACTTTCACTATATCCTGAGAGTGGTACACGAAACAGATAATCTGTATAAAAATCAAGTTCTCCAGCTCCTCCTAGTGCTCCTAATGGCATTTGCAAGAATTCACCGTGCCTGAACAAAAACAACCAATCAGAGTCGAGGAAGATAGCTGATTGTTGAATCCTATTCCCAGGTAGCCAAATGCCAACACTTTGGGCCCCAAAGGGAACGAGAGTCAGCAATCAACAATCTTGAAGCCACCAACCCAAAGTGAAGAAGACACCCACTGTAGCTTCAAATTGTTAATAATTGGATTTGTTTATTTCAAATTAATGTTTACATTTTTACTTGATTTGTTGATAATTTGTATTCAAATTATGATGTCCTTAAAGGGTTTGGTATTTTAAGGGGTAAATGAAGGAATGATCAGTGATATTTTAATGGGTTCTTGTTTCATAGTGACAGCAGCACTGTGAGAGGTCAAGCTGGACTGAAAGCCTGAGATGTCAGGGTGACCTT